CGAACCAACTATACTGCCACATAAAATTTTGTTCTTAAAAATTTTTAAAAATGTATTATTTCAATGATTTTATTATCAATGCTTCTTTCTTAAATATTTTATAACTTATTGTGATTGTATTAATGTGTTAAAAATGTATTATAAATGATAAAGATGATAAATTATGAAAGTATAATTTATATTATGTTATTTTGATGATATACTTTTTCAATTATGTCCCCATTATGAAATTATTTTGGATCCGCCAGTGCAATTAGGTTTCTAATGGAACTTCCATTGAAATTGTTATAATTCAATTGACTGTTTTTCCAACGGTTGAAATATGGCCAGAAAAAAATTGCAACGGAAATTCACACAACAATAAACAATGGCAATTGGAATCATTAAATCCATTAAAATTTCAATGTAATTCCATTTGATCTCTGATGGAATAACCAATGAAATATTCATTGATATTTTTAGTGGAATAACATACTGTTGGATTTTTCATTGCAGTATACCATTTTTTTCGTATTTCTTCTTAAACATTAAAATTTTTATTTTGTTATTTTCCTTATTAATTAATTGTGTTTACAAATATTGTATAGAAAATATATTAAACACATGAACTTTTTAGTCCATGCATATTTTTTAGAAATCACTCATTCTTTTATCTCAAGATTACTTATTAATTTATCAATTGAGTTACATTTCTTACATATTAAATATTAAATAATAAAAATAATTATTTTATATACGTAATATGATATTTGTATATTATCTTAAAACAAAGAATAATGACAAATAAAAATTTATTTAAAATTATAATAATCAAGTTTTAAATAAAAAAAATTAAAGGTTCTAACTTACATTGATAAAAGTACAAATAACTATTGTCTATCACCTAAAACTTACATATAGAACTAATAAGCACAAAAAATAACAATCGTTGAATAATTTGACTCCTTTACATTGATAAGTACACGTTTTAAAAGTTTTATATTTAATTCTATTGATTATAACTTTTCTATTTATTGCCTTTTTTCATATTCATAAGTAAGTGTTAACTTAATTATATTTTTAATATTATTCTTCATATTTAGTATTTTTTTTTTTTACTTTATAGTTTATATATATATATATATATATTTCAATTAATTGTAATATCTTTATTTCATTATATATAATTAATATTATGTCAAAGTAAGTGTACTTTAGGTAGTTCATTTTTTAATAAAAAATATAAAATAAGATGAGTATTACGGCATTACTAATTTGCCATTAAAAATATGTTAAAATAAGGGTTGATTTTTAGGAAATGTAGAATGTTTTGTTCACATATTTGTATTAAATTAATTAAATAGTGGTTATTAATTAAAAATATAAGATAATTTGAGTATTAGTGTATTACTATTTTGACATTAATAATATGTCAAAGTAAGAGTACTTTAGGTAGTTCATTTGTTAATTAAAAATATAAAATAAGATGAGTATTACTGTATTACTAATTTATCATTAAAAATATGTCAAAGTAAGGGTGTTTTAGATAGTTAATATTTTTACAAAATCGTTCGTCCTTTTATAATATATATATAGATAGATAGATTGACAAAACGCGATTTTAACTTTTTTAAATCTCTATCGGAGCATCATTAAGCCATCATACACCCGCAATGTTCCGCCGCACCGCCGTCCGATTAATCTCCCTCCGCCGGGCCTTCTCAACCTCCATCGAGCCGGCGAGTGAAGACTTATTCATGGCTGCTTGGAGGCGGATAGTGCCGGACCTGGACCCACCCAAAACTCCGTCGGCCTTCATGCAGCCACGGCCATCCACGGCTTCAAAGCTCTGTGTCAACATGGTTTCTAAGTACTCCATCCTGTTCACCAATAAACAGGTTTCTTTTAATTCATGCCAGCTAGTTGTACTTCACTGTTTTGGGTTTGAATTCCAGGAATTTTGGGCCTTTTGTTTCTATCTGTGAGGTTGGTTTGGTTGGACCTATTTATTTTACTCTGTAATATTATATGTAGAATCAGGATGCTTAGCTTATTTAATTGATACTATTACTTCGTTTGGAAAGATTTAGCTTTTGTCTGCACTTTGTAAGTGTGAACAGCTGCACTTTAAGAGTGCACATTTCCTGTTCGACATTATGCCTGCAAGGGGACCTGAACACAACTGAACAGACATTGTTTCACGAAAAACCCAAAAAACTGCGAGTGCATAATTGAAGGTAGCTGAAAAAGTTTCTATAGAAATTGTATGTCTTTGCATCTAACTTGTACAAAATGAATAATCAGAAGCTCCTTTTGACCCTTTTTTTT